GACTCGGGACCAGAAAGTCCCAGATTCAACTCCCACCCACATGTTGTGGTGTCTCTGAGCAGGACACCCAATCCCTTATTGCTTCCTGGGCGCTTACACACTTGCCCACTGCTCCACCTGGTGTGTCCCAGGTGCGATGGGTTAGATGCAGAGACTAATTTTTATCCTTGTATGGGAACGTGCATGATGACCTCACACAGCACTTTACAGTCCTTTACTTAGACTACACGTTGAAAAAGTGACAGGAGTGTTGCATCATTCGTGTTTGACACTGAACCTGGAGCGTGAAAACACCAGTGTTGTTTATTAATGTTTGCATGAAGCTCTTCTGTTGATCCAAGGATAAAACCTGTCCATTTTATTCTAAAGTCTTTTTTTGTGGTGTTCTTTTTTCCTTATTACTGTGGCTGTTAAACTTGACTCACAAACGATAAGTAAAAATGAGGCGTGGCACAAATGGAAGCAGATGTGTTCAACACTCAGTAGGTCAGCAGTGAGCAACACAGTGCATGTTTCACGTGATGAATATGGAGCTGGCCTCCATGAACCAGGCAGGAACTTTCACGGAGGACTGGCTGCTTTAACTCGGTGCTTCTGCAGTTTTTCACCTGAACTGTAGGCGTCACTAAAGACGAGTGCAATCTGCTGAACACTAAGTGAGTTAGAAAAAGAGCTGTCTGCTAAAAAAAATCAGTTTAGCTTTCATATACAAATATAAGTAGGCTTGTTGCGATAAACAATAAATCAATTAATCACATGTTAAATGAAAATGATCCACCTCATTTTCATTTAACAGCTTTATCGTTTCTTCGTCTCTCTCTTTCTACTGAAGACACTGGATGACAAAAGATCAACTCTGGTGCTCTTCACTGACCCCTCCCTTTCTCTTTCCCCTTTAAAATCTGTTTTAATCATCCAAAATCACGTGTTTGGGTCGTTAAAAGCAGCTAAGCTGAGAAGCTAAGCTAACAGGTTGACCTCAGGGAAAAACCCTCCGTCTTGTTGAAGTTCCAAAATTCATGTGCCTTCGTGTAAAAAGTTGTTTTTCTCAGCAAAAAGAAGTTGATAACTTGTTTATAGATTTTTTTATTAAAAGCTATGTGTGACAAATGCTATGCTAAAGAGCTCAAACCACACAGAGCGTCCGTCATTTTGAGAACCAAACAAAAGGGAGGGACAGCCCACGTCACGTCAAGGGGCCTCCTTCCCATTTTTCTTAGACTCGCTGCTCACTCCCTCACTATCCATCCTTCAGTTCCAACAGTCTTATACTGCCACATTGTGGTCAACAAAATGTACTACACTCAAAACAAATTAACAAACATTTCTTCTTAAATTTGACAATTACTAATTATTGTTAAATCTCAAACAATATTATCGTTTATCGCAATAATTTCTGAGACAATTAATCGTCCAGCAAAATGTATTATCGTGACAGGCCTAGATATAACTAGACTTTTTTAATCCAACATTTTTCAGTCGGGTCATCTGGACAGTTTCTTTTTTTTTTTTGTGCTGAAACGTATTGTATACCTGGATTATTGAGCATGGACTTTGTTGTTTTCAACCAGTTTGACAAGACTGTCAACAAAGAAGAGGGCCGGCAATGGAGGAGGGGCGTACCAAAGACACCATCTTATCATAAGCAGAACTGGTTTGTTCCACTTTGGAGTAAGGTGTTGAGGGAAGAATCAGTTTTGTTGTGTGTTTCCTTGACTGATGAAGCCTTCTGGATCGAAGGCGAAACATTTCAGTACAAAAAAAAAGAAACTGTCCAGATGACCTGACAGAAAAATGTTGCATTGTATACCTGGATTATTATGGACTTTGTTGTTAAACTTTTTTAACTTTTCTAACAAAAAAAAAAAATTATATATATATATATATATATCTGATTCCTGTATTCCTGTACAAACAACTGTTGGCAGACTCTTTAGTTTTAAACGGATCCGGTTGGGATCAGTTTAAAGATAATTAATAGACCAATGTGTCTAGATTTAATCCTAAAACTGCATCGGTTCACAGCTGCTCTACTTATGTAGTTGCACCATGCATGTTCATAAATTAGTACGTACTTGTTCATCTTCATGTCCTAATTGGCACAGATGAACAATATAAAGCAGAGGAAAAAAAACACTTATTACGTCAAATGAGGCTAAAATGTTTGTATCACTTTAATGAACCACAAAACATCAACGTTGTAGAAAAAAACGACATTTATCAAGTATAATTAAGTATAGGGGAGTGGTGGCGCAGAGGTTAGAGAAGATGGGCCTGTGATCGACAAGTCTCAGGTTCAACTCCCGGTTCCGTCAACATCAACATGTGGGTGGAAATGGTGGAACACCCACACCTGCCTCCACCCTCATTCACCTTACTCTGGGCCCCTGAGCAAGGCCCTTAACCCCCATCTACTCCCTAAACAGGTCTCTCTAGAAAATGTACGGTGGCCCTAAGGTGTAAATGAACATTAGAAAAAACGAAATTACATTAAGCCAAACGGGAAGTTTTTTTTTAAACTTTTATTAACGGCATAAAACCGAACAACAGAACAATATACAGTACACACAACGCAGATATGTGTGTACTGTATATTCTTAAAAAAAAGTTGTCAGGTCCTCTGGATGTTCAAACCAACAAAAAATAAAACTGTAGAAACGTTTCGTCTTCCATCAGAAAGACTTCTTCAGTGTGCGGAGCTGTGTTCAGCTCAGTCTCATCAGTAGCACCTTCTCACAGTGGATCTCGTGGCTCAGTGAGACTGTCTGTATAAATAAAGGGTAAACAAACAAGTTAAAAAACTTTGTAAATGAGAAACGTTTTAGAAGTTTGATACGTGTAAATAATTTGATAAGCTGTAAACACTGTGGAAAAAAACCCTTCCCACAGCCGACCCTGACTGAATACTTTTCCTAAAAGACTGTTCTGTTTGTGTATTCCAACACAAGTGTCAGCTCACACTCCTGCACTTCTGTGGTTTTTCAATTTAACATGACACAAATTAACTCTTCCATTTTGTCATCAGGCCAATAAAATGTTGTCTTGCACTTGTCTTCTCCATCCTCGTCTCGTCTTCTTGGTTTTATGACTCACATCATGACTCACATCAAAACAACCATCAACATCAACGAGGACCCTCATCAGTATGCATACCGTGAGAACCGATCAACAGAGGATGCAATCTCCTCTGTGGTCCACACTGCGCTCAACCACCTGGAGCAGAAAGACTCACGTCCGCATGCTCTTTGTGGAGTTCACGTCTGCCTTCAACACCATGATCCCCCAAACCCTGATGGACAAACTGTCCACACTAGGACTAAGCCCCTCCATCTGCAACTGGGTACTAGACTTTTTAACAAACACACCACAGTTAGTGAGGATCCACAACCTCTCCTCCTCCACCATAACCCTCAGCACTGGCTCTCCTCAGGGATGTGTGTTGAGCCCCCTCCTGTTTACTCTGCTCACGTATAATTGTGCAGCTACCCATCCAGGCTGTCACATTGTAAAGTTTGCAGATGATACAGCGGTGGTGGGATGCATCACAAACAATGATGAGTCCAGCTACAGGCAAGAGGTGGAACACCTGGAGAGCTGGTGCAGCGAGAATAACCTTCACATCAATGTGAAGAAGACAAAGGAGATGATTGTGGACTTCAGAAGGAACAAAAACATCTACACCCCCCTGAACATAAGAGGATCTGCGGTGGAAGTGGTCTCCAGCTACAAGTACTTGGGTGTACACATGAATGACAACCTCAGCTGGAGCAACAACACCACCAGCCTGATGAAGAAAGCTCATCAGAGACTCTACTTCCTCAGGCGGCTGAGACGAGCTGGTCTGGAAGCTCAGTCCTCACCTCCTTCTACAGGTGTGCAGTGGAGAGCATCCTGTGCTCCAGCATCAACGTGTGGCATGGAGGCTGCACAGCTGCAGAAAGAAAAGCTTTGCAGAGAGTGGTGAAGGCTGCACAGAAGATGTTGGAGTCAGTCTCCCCACCATCACAGACATCTACACCTCCAGATGCAGGAAGAGGGCCACCTGCATCATGAAGGACCACACTCACCCAGCACACACACTTTTTGCACCACTCCCCTCAGGAAGGAGGTTGAGGAGCATTAAGTGTAGAACCACTAGACTGAGGAACAGCTTCTACCCTGAGGCTGTTAGACTCATGAATCTCTAACCAGAATAATCACTGTGAAAAAATCACATGTTGCTGCTGATCTATTTCATGTTGTTGCTGATCTGTTTCATGTTGCTGCTGATTTGTTTCATGTTGCTGCTGATCTGTTTCATGTTGCTGCTTATCTGTTTCATGTTGCTGCTTATCTGTTTCATGTTGCTGCTGATCTGTTTCATGTTGCTGCTTATCTGTTTCATGTTGCTGCTAATCTGTTTCATGTTGCTGCTGATTTGTTTAATGTTGCTGCTGATCTGTTTCATGTTGCTGCTGATCTGTTTCGTGTTGCTGCTGATCTATTTTATGTTGCTGCTGATCTGTTTCATGTTGCTGCTGATCTGTTTCGTGTTGATGTGTTCATTCGTGCTCATCTGCTCACACAGACTCATGTTCGTGCTGATGTTCGACGTAATGTTTTTATGTTATTAGTGTATATTTAGTTGATGTTTTTCTTAGTTCATATCTTAGATGTTATTACTGTTTTTCTTATACATTTTATTGTTGGATGTAACTGGGACCCTGTGTACATAATTTTGTTCCACCACATGTACCACATGAGGTGTGAATGACAATAAAGAAACTCTGACTCTGTGACTTCAGTTGGTCAGAATTCATGTTTCTGGTTTGTGTTTGTGTCCACATGGCGCCACACACAGGTCGGGCGTAGCACCACAGCCTTCTGGCTCGTGTTCTGAGTTTGTGGATGGAAACATTTGTAGAAATTATTGTTTATGTGGATATTTAGAAACGTTTGTTAAGAAAATATTTAGTGTGGAAATTGTTGCCATGGCCTTATTGTTGTTTGTTGTTTTTCAGTAATCCAGTCCCTGATTGCTCTGGTGAACGACCCACAGCCTGAACACCCCCTGAGGGCAGACTTAGCAGAAGAATACTCAAAGGACCGTAAAAAATTCTTGAAGAATGCCGAGGAGTTTACAAAGAAACACGGAGAAAAGCGGCCAATGGACTGATCACATGACAGCCCCCACATCCCCCTGCTCTTCTAACCAACATGCTTGTTCACTCTTCTTCCCCTTCCTCTCTTCCCCTGCAGCCCGGGGGCTGCCAGCCTGACAGCAGGCTGGGACAGTCTAAGGACTGCCCCCCTCTTCAGGATTCTGTGGATCAGGCAGCATCTTCCTCCTCCTCCTCCTCAGCTCCAGATCTTCAGGCCTTCTCTAACTTTTTACTCTTTCTTAAGGTGAAATGGAAACGGAAAAGTTGCTCACACTGAGTTAGATGGTTCAATGTTTTCTTTTAAACATCCATCAGGTTTTGGGATAAACAGAACCACCTGTGTTTTATTTCTTTTGTTCCTAAAAATCCAGAGTTAACGTTTAAACTTTGACAGAATTAAAGCTGTAGCTGGGACCCTGACTAAAATATATCTGCCTTATGTATCTCCGTTTATTTGTAGAATTGCACTGGACGCAAAAGTTGCTGGTTTCCAGCAAACACTCCAAACGGATCAACATTCATAAACGACCCACACGTTGTGTTTTTTCTTTTTTGAACTTCTTTCGATTGATTTGTTCAGTTTCTCTGTATGACTCATCGCTTCTGTTTTTCTCCAGTTCACATTGTTTTAATTGGCACTTGATATAAAATTTCCTGCTCAGAATGTGTCTGAAGTCATTAAAGTTTGCTCTCGCTGGGCTTTGCACCATCAGCTCCTTCCATCTTACAGAAGTTCTGTAGCTGCACGTCCACTCTCACATACCCAGCTTAGAGGAGACCTGACCAGCTCTGAAGGATCTTACAAGTCCAGAGGAATGAACGATCTGGAGAGGGTTCTGCTGGTTCAAAGAGGTATGACTGTCTGGTCCTGAGATGACTGTGGAAGGTTCAGCTGGTCCTGAAGGGTCCAAAGTCCCCGTCCCAAAACGGAAAAAGATGACCAAACTGGACTAGTTAGTTTGGCTTGCCTCCTGGGAAGCTTTCCCAGTTAAAACGTGGAGGGTGTGGAAGTTCCAGCTTTGTTATGCAAACTAAATTCACATGCAGATTAACCTCTCTCCCCTCACACTGGAGAGTGATTGAAGCTGATTTATTCTTCTTCACAAGTGTTCGTTGTTTCTCACTCGTTTGCATTATTCTTGCACCGCCTCAGAGAACCAGTTGAACAATTGTCTTGCAGGGTGTGTGCAAACTTTTGTGACTGGTCAGCACTTAGTGGTTGTGTTTATGCACAAATGCATTTCACTTTGCTTTACTGAGAAGCAGCTGGCCGAGGCTGTTAAATACAGCCATCTTTACAACTGTACCAGCAGGACTTATAAAGATGGTCAAAAAACTCATGGAGATTGCACATCTTTTGTGCTTGAAGGAGGCAGCATGGAGACATGCTCTTCGTGGCTGTGCTGTTCATGAGGGAGTACATTGGACAGCGTAGGGACACGTTCGTGCACTGTCTTTCACAAGCAGTGATTGTCTCTTAATGAAGAATTTGCCAATTGTCGCTCAGTTAACAGCAGAATTATCAGGTCTTCCTCCAACTGCTCCCATCGTCAATGGTAAATAAACATCCATCTCTGACAACTGTGCTCTTGATGTGCTGTATCTGTTAGAACCTGAAGTGTGCTGCAGTAAGACGACTAAAGGCTCCTACATACACGTGCGGACCTCAGTCCACGGAGGTCCGCACGTACCGGACTGGACTCAAAGCAGATGCCCGCAGTGCATGTCCATGCAAAGATACATTTTTACGTACGCGTACTCGTGTCGCACAGCAAACTGCCCGGTGATGGACTGTTTTGTATGTGACACCAATGTATTAAATTCCTCTTCTTCATCTCTGATCTGGCCTTTTCTTTTGTTTTTTTTGCCAAGAGGCAGTGATCTCTTCCTCCTCCGTTGATGCCATGACTGAAATGGTGAGAAATGGAGGACTTTGTCACGAGTGAATTAAACTCAGGCCCGGCGTGGCTGCTGGAGGGTCTGGAGATTTCCCAGTGTCTGATGTGTGGGCTGCAGGGCCAGTGCTCCCTGTTTTTTTTTAAATTTTTTAGGACTTTTTATTAACAACATATAAACACAGAACACCGCTGCAGCTGGAGCTGCCAGCTTGTCTCTTTTTTTTTTTCCTGACCTGTCAATCAATCCAGTAGGTGCGTCAGCAAATGACCAATCGGCAAACTCAATTTGTCCCAAAGGTAAACGCCCCATGCCTGCGTAGCTGGCTGCAGCCCATCAGGGTGTACGCTCGAGTATGAAATCTCAGTCTGTGGACAGTGCGCACAGTTTCCGCACGGACCGAGGTCCGCCTGACTATGTGTGAGCCTTTATCAGGATGCTTACGCCACAGTCCGAGTATGAAATGTCCATGCAAAAAAAGAACATCTCATAACATGTCAGCACGATCGAATGTTGTACTTGTGAAATATAAATTGCCTTTAGAGTCTTTATTCAATCAATCAATCACCTTTATTTTACCAGGTAGAGCCCGTTGAGATTGAGATCTCTTTCACAAGGGTGACCTGGTCAAGTGGTCATCAGCACACGTCACAGGGTAATTGACAATAAGCATTTGCATTTATCAAAAGAATAAAGAAACTACTATCACGATAAATAAATGTTAACAGTTTGAAACCATCAGGATAAGACAGACTTCTGTAGACATTAAATGTAGAACAGACATCAGTTTAAGTAGACAGAGTTAAAAGTCAACAAAGACATGTATATTTGATAAGTAGTGTTTTAGAAACATCTGCAATGGTCCAGATTTTTGATAACATTATCTGATACGGTTGACATGAAGGATCTAGGCGAGATGAGTGTTGATAGTTTCAAATGTGTCTGTAAGTTGTTCCAGGCTGAGGGGACGGCGAAGCTGAATGCTCTTTGTCCTAGTTCAGTTCTGACCAGAGGAACTGACAGGAGGATTAGGTCATTAGAGCGCAGGGAGTAATGATTGTGTGATGTTTGTATTAGGGAGGTAAGGTATGACCGGTTTGACCAGCTGATTCATCTGCTTGCAAGAAAGAACTTTTAGCCACATACATGAAGCTGTGCATTAAAGGAAAAATGACAGGACACCTACAGACTGGGTCCAAAGCTGGAGAAGAATGTACTTTTCAGTGAAGCTTGGCTGCTGTTGGTCCATGAATTGAAGACCTGCAGGTCAACTGGAAAAGTTTCCTGTGGTCTGGTCAGGTCATTGACCAGTATCAATACTTTGATATTGTTCCAGTACTGTTTTCTTCCCCGTCTGCCTGACGTTTTTTTTTTTCTTCTTTCAGCTGCTCCCTTCTTCAGGGGTCGCCACAGTGAACTAACTCACATGAAGACTTGGCAGTTGTTTTTACGCTGGATGTCCTTCCTGATGCAACCACAGACACTGAGCTACCACAGCCTCTGTGTGGAGCAGAGAGCTGACATCTAGGACACTCGGGGGAGCAGATGGTGGGGGTTAAGGACCTTGCTCAAGTGTCCAGAGTGGGGCATATGAGGATGGAGGCAGGTGTGGGTGCTTCACCTTTCCCACCCACATTTTGATGTTCTGGGGAGTTGAACCGGCGACCTTCCAATCACAGCCCTGCCTTCTCTAGCCTCTGCACCACCACTCACCCTAATGTCTGCCTGATGAAGAGCAGAATAAAAATTGAGAATAAACTTATAGATGCAGGCAGGAATCCCCATGGACGATGTTTGCAGATGACATTGTGATCTGTGGTGAGAACAGGGAACAGGTGGAAGAAAACTTGGAGAGGTGGAGGTATGCACTTGAAAGAAGAGGAATGGAAGTCAGTCGTAGTAAGACAGAATCCATGTGTGTGAATGAGAGGGAGGAGGTGGAACAGTGAGGCTAGAAGGAGCAGAGGTCACAAAGATGCAGGACTTTGTGTGAATGTGATAAAGAGGAAGAAGCGAGTCCAGGCAGGATGGAGTGGATGGAGAAAAGTTTCAGGAGTGATTTGTGACAAAACGGTGTTGGCAAAGGTCAAATGAAAAGTTTACAAGAATGGTGAGGTCAGTTATGTTGCTCTGGAGGCATTGACAAAAAGGAGATAGAAAAGGAAGTGACAGAAATGAAGATGTTGAGGTTATTTATGAGAGTAACAAGAACAAATAAGGTTAGCGATGAGATCATCAGAGTAGTTGGAGTGAGGACAGAAGACAGTGACATGAAGGAAGATGACTTGCTGTGACGGTCCCTGAAAATGGAACAGCAGAAAAGAAAAATGCAAGAAAAAACCCAGGAGTCACTTTTTAGGTTAAATTAAGTGCTCCCAGACAAACTATTAAAAGTGGGGAAAAATTAAAATGTGCAAGTTAGAAGATATTTATACTGGTAGTTTTACTCAAATCTCAAATACCACAATTTAAACTGACCAGAATAAATGTAAGGATCCTAAAGGAGAATAATCAACAGCTGTATGTCCACAGGGAAAACTCTTCTTGTGCTTACTGTATTTATGCATCTTCTGTTTATGATAATGCAGAAAACAAACAAAAAAGAACTTAGTTTCCTCTTTTTAATGGTTATAACAAAAAGGATAAACGTTGGTTACGTACTGTAACCCCAGATTCTGAGTATAGGCGTAGCCCTTTAAGGCCATTCGCTAGTGGGTTTTATCCCGTTATGCAAAGCGTAGCACTGAAAACTTTAGTCCACGCCCACCTGTTGTGTGGGCCCCACCCGGTACAAATTACGTACAAATTACGTTGAGAGCGGGTAATCTGCTCTCAAATAGCTTTTTCTTCAGCCATTTAGGAGCCAGTGAGGCCCAGAGCTTAAAGGGCTACGCCTATATTCATAGAATCTGGGGTTAGCGTACGTAACCAACGTTCTATTTTGTATAGGCTTCGCCCTTTAAGGCCATTCGGTGGTGGGTTAAAAGGCGAAGCAGGATGTAGTCTATGCCTCACTGGGTCTGTTCAGACACCATATGAAACGCCCGCTTGCACCAAAAAACATTTCATCACTCAGCGCACCATGCACAGATGCGCACTGCGTAATTTACGCGTTCCGTGTACATGGGCGCCCCGGAGAGAAAAGTTTTCAATGGGGAAAAGGGGAGAGGCTGAAAGCATTGAACTGAGCAGATCAACAGCTCTTCAATATGAACAGATTAATAATAAATGAACTGATTAGTAATCAAATGAGCTGATGGGTAACAGTAGTCATGAACTGATTAGTAACATTGGAACAAGATCAACAGTCACAAACTTGTGACTGATAACAAATATCTCGCACTGTAATTGCATGCAGTCAGATGTGAGTTTAAACGAAATTCCATGAAAACGATAAGATTCGATCTGTTAAGGCGCTAAGAACAGAATGCGCCATGGAACGAGCAGACACATCACGCAGATAAAAGTGAATGAATGAGCAGGGTGATGACCACGCGGCCGCAGTGCAAATATCCTGCATTGTCATACCATTATGCAAGGCTGTCAAGGATGCGATACCTCTGGTCGAGTGCACCCTGAAGTTGTCAGGGGGCTCTAAACCTGATGCTCTGTAAGCTTCAGAAATGGCCTCACACAGCCAGTGTGATAGGTGCTGGGTGGATAACGGGTGACCTGCAGAGGCGTCTCTATAATGCACAAACAAATGTTGAGTCTGACGCAGTGTGGCCATGCGTGCTACGTAACATGCCAACGCATGCACA